AGGAGGAAGCACCTGGATCGGATTCTCCATCTTCTGACGAGTCCGAAGATACCAGGATTGCATAGTTGTGGCTTGTGAATAGCTTCATTTTTCACCTGGAAGTAGATGCGTTGGTTCCACGGTGCTTGTTTTGGGGTGGCCCAAGACAGGGGGTGGCCCAACTCGGGGTGGGTCGACTTAATTATATAGGGGGTGAAGGCCTTTGTTCATGCGTAGGCATAGGGCTCTAAAAATTAACGTTTTCCTACCACTGTTGAGCAGGTAAATAGAGCTTGGGACCCTATCTTTTGGCGGTAGGCGTGTTTGAGAGGGCTGAAGACGGATAGATCGAGAGGCTGCAGCACGTGCGAGGTGTGAGGGGGTAAATAAAGTAGAAAAACGGTATTCTGCAGGCAAAGAGATATAAACTCTTTGGTTACGTGCGACCCGTGCCCATCCAATATTAAAAGCCGGGGTTTAGGGGTAGGGGGTTGGGTGCGAGGGAGGAAAACTTTTTGCAACCATTCGAGGCCCGTATGATCCGTGGTCCAACCGTTATCTGTAGCGGCGAATTCCCAGCCTTGAAATTGGCCAAGACCTTCCGGAAACCACTGCTCTTGCACGCTTTTTCCTTTGAAAATAATGAGGGGAGAAAGGTAAACCCCAGTAGCCGAAATGCACTCGATAAACGAGGTCTACGTGCGAGATCCGGGCTCTTTCCACTGTAAAGGCCGGGCGTCAGCAAGGCCTAGAACAAGCCCGTTGCCGGTCTTCCCCTCCTGTAGGCCGCCCTCGTCCGCGTTGTACGTATTTTCCGGTTTGATGCCGGCCACCCCGGGGATCTGCAGGCGCTGCCACCACTGCTTTATTGTTGCAGTAGTAGCCCCTTTAACACGTGCAGATTCTATGCGTCGGGCTCTTCCGGTTCGGATTTCCGGATACCGGCCTAGAAAACCACGAATCCAGTGCTTCCCAAGCGGCTGGGAGGTGCCCCCGTGCCGGAGGATCTCCTCTGCAAAAAAAACGGATTTCCGCGTGCGTTGGTGGGAGCCCTAAAGAGG